AAGAGATGGTTCTGCTAGTGGGTACTCCGCAGAACTTTCAAAAGGTTCTATCGAATTGTTTATCCTTTTTTTGAGACTTTGGACACATTTGAATGCTTTGAGAAATCTACAGAGTCTTTTTGAGGGGTTCGGTAAAGCTCCTTTTTTTTACAGAGTAGATAATGAAGTGGGGGACACGAGAAAATGCACAGCGATACTTGTCCTCGTGGTATTGTTCTAAGAATCATTGACTTTAGGGAGTCAATGTTTGATTTTGAATCTTTTCTTCGAATATAGTGAAGATCATATGAAAAAAGTGAGTTTTTAGGTTTCTGTCAGAGTCAAAAAAATGTCCGCTTGAAGAAGTTTTCGATTTGAGTCTTCTGAGCAATGAGTTTTTTCAGACTGAAATTCGAGCCAATCAGATGTTTTCATTTTTTGGATCAATGGAATTAGTTCTTTTTATGAAAACAATGTTTCCTCAAGTGCAGAAAGAGTTTGATGAAATGAAATAAGTTTTTGTCTATTTTAGTCAGAATGAAAGGTAAAACGTCAGAAAGACATGTTGGCTAAGTGTTCGATGCTCTTGTTTTTAATATTGGACTTTCAACCACTTCAATTTTGCAAACTGAAAATTCAGTCAATTCAATCTATGTGATAATTTTTAACTGAATCAGTTGTTTCATGACTGGATTTCCATGGATGAGGCTTGTTACTCGAAAACATTAGACTTTGAGTACCAAGTTTCTTAATTACTGTATGAGCATATATTATCAACTAAAATCAGCTTATTTCTTCATGTTACTAGTTTGTGGCAGAATCATGTATATTTTTCTGCCGACATTTATTGGCTACAGCATATTTGGATGAAGAATTACTGTTTTTTACAATCCATGACGGAGAATCAAGATTTATCTTGAACAATTTTATAAAGAGACCGATTAGTTTCTTCGACTTTTACAATTCAAGTAATCGAAAATTGAGTCATTTATTGTGATAAATCTAGTAGATCGATTCTTTTAACATCCACATGCAGAGTGTAATTCTGTACTTTTACGCTCGAGGTCAAGTAAGTCGAATCTACCAACACTACTTATATTTTTAAGAACGGTGTTAACGATAGGGAGGCAAGCAAAATAGAAAGCAAGAATGGAATAATAACGAAGAAAAAAGAGAGTAGCTATGTGAGGCATCACTAATATGAAAATCAAGAAAAATCATTGTCTAATTTTTTACACATGGTTTTGAATCTTATCAAGATTCATAGATCTCTCTGATTCAAGATGTTATCAGGTCTTTATTTAATACAATGTTGTAAAAGAATCACTACAGAAAACTTGGTTTTTTCTAGGCATGATATTCGCAAAAGATTTTTTTTGCTTAGATATCGTAAAAATTTTGCTTCTCATTCCATAAACTATGCCAGTTAGTATAGTTTTATTTTGTTTTTTTAATTCTGATGAGTTGAATATAAGTTAAAATTAAAAATATAAATGTCATTATTGCTAGTGCAAGAAAGTTTTTCCACAGATCCCATGGAGTACCGTGAGGTAAATCTAAATCGTCTATTACTTGCTCGCCGGTCATCGGACAGATCTGAGTGTTATTGGGCAAGCAGAAAGTGAGGCCTTGAAATTCGTTAATAATAAGCAGATTTGAACCGTATCGACATCCACTAATCCACTGAATCCACGAGAGCCAGCTGAACACAGTGGATAAATCAAGAATAAAACCACTGAAGAGCATCATAACCACAGCACTGAGTATAGAGAAAATGAGGGCCACAGCTATAATGAGAAAAATACATGAAATCTCATGAATGAAAGTTCTTATTGTCGCAAAAATAATACTCTCTGAATTTCAATCCTCATTTTTTTATATGGTTTTACTTGATGAAACAATTTACATTCAGGCATAAAAGATAATTTTTGATCTTACGAAATTCTGAGGCAGTGGCCGAAATCAAAAAGAAGAGTGTTGATCCAAACAAGCCACTCATGAAAATTGTGACCAGATAGATAAAAAATTGACTCGCAGTTCGACTAAGTCCCATCATAAAATAGGATATTGTGGAAAAAACAATTGTTGGAATGACACGCATAGGTAACAGGTCACATACAACTTTTGCCAGGAAGTATGTAATAATTCTGTAGTAGCCACTAGCATATTCCTAGATATCTTAATAAGACATCAAAGTTTTTTGGCTGCGTGTATGAAAAAACTTACATGTATGAATAGAGCACGCTGTTTCAGAAGAGTATCGAGTGCGGTCACATTTATGAATATTTGACTGAGAACGATGAAAAAAACTGCGCCAAGCCGATTTTGAACACCAGATTCTATTATTTTCTTCAAATCATAGAACAATAATCCAACTAGCAAACCAAGTATAATACAAACTCCAATTTGCGACAATGGTAGCGATGGATTTCGTCTAGTATTACGTATAGTTCGTTGTGAAAGATAGAAAATCTCTACACCGAATGAGCGAGCTTTTCTAACTTGGTATTGTCGCGAGTTTTGGTCCAAATTTTCAACATCAGCCGAGTCACCTCGTTGTGGAAGCGCTGGCAATTTATTTTCCCATGTTGTATTATACATGCTATTTAATTTTCTCATAATGTCTGGTTTTTGACCAACATCTATTAAAACATCGAGTGCAAAGTCAGCTGGATTATCATATGGTTCACATTGATAACCATGTGAAGAAAAGTACGACACAACATCTCTAGCTGAACCATGATAGAGGCATCGACCTTGACACATAAACATGACCGTATCAAATACTTTGAATATAGAGTAGCGTGGTTGATGTATAGAGAGGATTATTGTTCCTATTAGCTTTAGTCGTGTCAATAACGATCATGAAAGGTTATATTACTTACGTTGTCGTTGAGATAACTCCTTAAGACAATAGATGATACTGCTGGCTGTTGATGCATCGAGTCCTACAAAACATGAAACAACTTCATATTGCTAACAAATTTTCCTATCGATTTTCGTTTCTCGGGAATAGCCTCAATAAATATTCTCTTTTGTTAGCTCACGGTGTAAAATTTCGTTTAATTTTGTAAGATGCACACCTTTATTAGTATTGAGTATGACCTACATTGCTGTGATAGATTATGCAGAATTTCAAACAACGGTAAATCAAAGATCATATAAACCAGAGAACAAGTACGATTACCTGTTTTCTAGGAGTTTCCGCAAAAACTGAAAAATTCTAGACAGCAGAGATACATTGTGTTTATGGAGATAGATAGGTAAATAGGTACGTTAGATGTAGGAGGTAATGGGATATTAGATATATTGAAGATAAACAAGGAAAACAATGTGTGGATATTGGTATGTGAGTGATGGATCAAAGAAAAATTAAACCTACACTCTCCTATTTAAATCGATCTCACTACATTATAAATGATAGATCTAGTGGTGTATCTGTTGCTCTTTTTCATTTCACTTTTTCTTTGGTGCTACACACTGTGCATCTCGTATTTGTAACTTTGGTTTAGCCTGCATCATTTCCTGTATATTTTTATGAGAGCAGAAAGCTTAAGAATCATAAAAGATCAGTATTGGTCTATAACATCATTTTGAAAGATGTCAACAACAATAAAGATAAATGATGACTTAGGAATGTGCAATAGTTCTATTTTAGCTGTACCAGTAGCTTTCACTACTTTCACAGTTTTTTCGCTCTATAATGCATTGAAATAGGAGATCTTGAGTTCTTGAAAAATACTGGAAACGTAAACATATGGAGAGCAATATTATATTCAAGATATTGGAAATCAATTGTCTATGTCTTGCATATCCAAAAATTTTCCATATCTTTACCGATTTACCTCGAATGTCTCCTATTTCTCTATTATCTCCAATATCTGATGCCCATATCTATCTATTCATTTCATAGAAGACGTTATATGCCACAGAGATGCCACAATCACAGTATCTGAAGATGTATTTTCTTCCTTATATTTTAAAACATTACCTGTTGTGGGTTCATCAAGAAAAAGAATTTCAGGTGACAAGACTAGTTCCATTCCTATGCAGGTTCGCTTTTTCTCACCACCTGATATACCACGATGAAACTCTGTTCCCACGCGTGCATCAGCACAAGCTTGAAGACCAACTTCATCAATGACGGCCTTCACACGTTTATCTTTTTCATTAGTCGATAGCTTTTCCGGAAAACGAAGACTAATTGAAAAGTATAGATTTTCACGCACTGTTAATGTACCGCTACATATATCGTCTTGAACCACGTATCCAACTTTATACTTATATGATGAATCTCGTGGAGATCCATGGACCAAAACAGTACCAGATAACGCACGTGGATCCTTTCGATCAGCTAGAATGTCAAGCAAGGATGATTTGCCGCATCCAGAAGGTCCTGTATATATATAAGAGCCACTTTAAGGTCCTACAAAATATATATATTACCGAGTATTGCATTCATTCCGTGTGTAAAATTTCCTGATACATTAAAAAGAACTTGTTTTTCTTGTTGAGATCTGAAGAATGGTATGATTGGACATTTTGAAAAGCAACTGATCAACCTGCTGCTTCCACCGACCGTATAATTGATGTTATAAAAGGATATTATAGCGGGAGCATTCACAGAAGTAGACGTAGTGTGATTGAAACTTGTCATATTTATACTTCAAAAATAGTATCCCCCGTAGTTCACGATTTGTCTGGATAGCTTCACAATGCTTTCTCCTGAAACAGTTAAATAAAAATATGGCCAAAGATTAATGTTGTTTTATACCTCTCCTATTGGTTGATATGCATTCTTATCACAAAATAATCGTCAACAGAAAAACAAAAACGCACATATTTAGGTAGAGACTCGTGGTATAGAACAAAAATAGCTTGCGACACTTCAAAGTATTTTCAGGTATATTGAAAAATATTTGGGTACTTCGAAATACTTTTAAGTAGGCCAAAATGGTTTGACGCTTTCTGAAATATTTCATTTGATTCATATTTATTTTACACTACCGTACATCGCAGATTTGAGGGGTGGGTGTGGGTGTGGGTGTGGGTGTGGGTGTGGTGTTGGTTTGGGTGGGTGTGGGTGTGCATCAAGAGAAGATCCACGCCCACACCCTCAAGTATGCCGAATGCCGTCATTTTCTGACGGCGAATGACTCTTGACAATTTGCGAAGAGCATTGGGTAATGGTAGAGATGAAATTCGCGTTTGTAATGGTACATCAATTTGGATAATACATTCTCTCCTTCTCAAATGAGTTTTACGTATACGATCATTACGTTTTGGACTCCATCGATCATCAGAAATTAATTCGACTGATGATATTTGTGTAGATTTCGACTCATATAATGCTCTACACTTGAAACAAAATTCTCTTTTGACACGCATGACCTCGCTTGTTTCGTTCCATCTCTCAGTTAATTTCTGTTTGATCTCATCAATAGAAATTGTATTCTTCATTGATTTGTTTCTTTTCGTAAATAACAGATACAGTTCATCGGTGTTATATTCATGCTGTTTTTTACTATTATCTTGTACTTCAGTGAGCTTTTGGCGAAGTTTCTCACTAGAAGATCTGTTAATAATGTGCATGCGAATATTGTATTTATCTTGGAAAGCACGTAAATGTTGACCTTTTTTCCCAATAAAATGACCAGTTTTTCTGTGACGTGCTTGTACGGAAAGTTCTGGTTTGAATAAAAGAGCCACGAAATAAACCGATTCCTCTGATGTCTGTTTGATAGATCTTTCAAATTCGATTTTATTACACATGTCACGGAGCATATTCAAATCGATCATATTTAAGCCTAAAGTAAAAGTGAGTATATTCTGCTAGGGGGGAAAAGCGTATTTCTGTATTTCCGTATTTCTATGTATTTCTACGTATTTCTATGTATTTCCAGGTATTTCTAAGTATTTCCAGGTATTTCTACCCATACTACGTAGAAATACCTAGAAGTACCTAGAAGTACCTAGCAATAGTTAGAAATACCTAGAAATACCTAGAAATACCTGGAAATACCTGGAAATACTTAGAAATACCTGGAAATACCTGGAAATACTTAGAAATACTTAGAAATACCTGGAAATACCTGTAACGTTTCAGGTATTTCTAAGTATTTCCAGGTATTTCCAGGTATTTCTAAGTATTTCTAAGTATTTCTAGGTATTTCTAGGTATTTCTGAAATAGAGAAATACTTAGAAATACGCTTTTTCCCCCTTGATATTCTGTCTACAATTAATGATGAAGTGAAAAAAATAACGACCAATTTAGGAATGTAATGAACAGTAAAAAACTGTTTATCAATGATATTTACCTTTTTTCCCATTACACGAACAACATTCTCCTGGCAATTCATGATAAGTACGTCTTTTAAATATGTTTGCACGACGAAGTAGATTAACAGCATAATTAAATTCGGATAGATATTTACGATTGTGTACGATACATCCATCAGTTGCTATTGTAACTTTGAAGTATTCTAAAACTGTAGCATATATATATATATATATATAGATTGGCAGAAAGAAATCAAACGAAACGAAAAATATAAATGAAATCACTTGAGAAGGTATCCTGTCCAGAGTTACAAGCAAAATCTTTCCGGTCACAAACAATGAATAGTTATCTTTTGTTCATGGACAGATTTACAGTGAAAACATTGCCTGATCATTTCAACAGAAGGCTCTTAACATTATTAAGTTGATGTTGGCTTCAAAAGCAGAGCTGAACAAGTCAAGCCAAAATTGCTTCAAGTCAAGCTATATCTAGTAAGAAATTTTCGTTTAGTATAAGTGTTTTTCATCGTAAAATAAAACTTTGAGCTTGTAAATACTGTCTTTCATCCGAAAGATGCTAGCATATTTTATGTTCCAACTATTTTTTAAGTAGACTTGACTTGACTTGATACTTGAGAGATTTCTAACTTGCCCATCTCTGTTCAAAAGTAAAGGAAGAGTACCATTTTTCGAATAAACTTTGATTGGAACATAATAGAGACCTGTGTTTCGGCCATTCAATAGAGAATATCCGGAGCCATCAAAATGTCTCAAAACTTAATTTGATCAGCAATTGATCAATCAGGTGAGTTTTTGATGGAGAAATCCAGAGCGTTCGACCCACCTATCCACATCATCAGCATATTAGAAGGGGTACACCTTCTATTTGTGTGACTGTTTCATCAGTGACTCTTCTGAGATAGCTGTTTGGAAAGGGTTGGCGGTTAAAGGGTTAAAAATAAAAGTAGTGTTTGCTTTTCTTCTAGTAATCGAATCAGGTAGAAATAGGAAAAAAGACATAAAAGGCAAGTCTTAATCTTATTGTACACACTGATGATATAGTCGTATGTGACCGAAACGAAGCAAACGCAAAGCATGAAGGATCCTAATAAATACATATGTTTAAATAAAAATAGGAATTCAATTGAAAGATTGTCAAGAGATTGAATTTGATTAAAAGCAAACGCATTGCTTATTCAAGAATAAAAATTACATTAAATTCTAACTGAAAAAATGCATAATCGGTAGAAGAAAGAGGATCCTAAAATAAATATATTCATGATTAATAGTAGGAAAGGGAATCAGAAATTACAAGAGATTATGCCCATCATTATCTTTTATCATGGATATGTTTCATATTTCATTGTGGAATCTCTTGTGAAAACTTTTGCTAAATATTCATCCTCATTAGATAAGTTACTTACTTTTGAATAACTCGTCAATTGTATTTTCCTCCTTGTTCCATGGGGTTCCGTCATTCATGTACTCACTTTCACTTATCGAAATTGATTCGTGTGATGTTTCGTCTTCTGACTCATCAGTCTGACCATCTTTATACGTGTCTTCTGCATAATCATTGCATTGATGTCTTAGTTCTTGTTTGATTGTGTTCTTCGACATCTGTTTCTTCTTTGATCTACTTATTTTCATTAATATTAACCGGAATACATTAAAATTACATGGCACATATGTTCTACGGAGCTTTTGTAATTTAACATACTTGTTCAGATTTGTTGGGTATTGAAAATTGATTATAGAAGCCGATGATAACATTATGTCACGACAAATTTCACGTAATAAATGGAGATCAATTGTCTTCAAACCTAAAGTGAAAATCAAGCATAGAACAAATGATTCAAAACGAACATGTATTGCGTAAAACTAGTTGCTAGTTGAGAACAAATATAGTATGCCTGACACTAGAAAATGAATTCATGGATTAAATGTATCTGATTGTTCATCACGTGAACAACATTCTTGTGGTAATTGTTGATAAATATCAGGATGAAACATTTTTTCGCGACGAAGTTGATTTGCAGCACAGTGAAATTTCATTACATTCTCACACGGATGCACAATACACCCGTCGTTAATCATCTCAGTCGTAATGAGCTATGAAACATGCACATTTATTTAAAAGTAAAGATAAGAACCTGACGAAGGGAAAACTATGAATCAAACTTCGTTGGAATACATCCAATGTATTGACACATCGCCGGTTGATTGCACAATCAACAAACAAGCTAAATATACGTGCATGGATAAGGGCAAAATAGAGAACTGTTGGCTTTCGTAACACAGATCGCTCACAAATGTTGAAATCTTTACTGACTTGCTATTGATTGTAAAACCTTTATTTGCTTTATTTAAGTGTTTATTAAGGAAAGATCCAGCAACCTCAACTTTTGATCACGAAGTACATTTTGGAAACAATATTGCAGACAAATCATGCTGCGGTCGGTTTCCTAAGAAGGGTGGGTGTCCAAACTTTTTCAATGAGATTATTAGTTGAAAAGTTTTTCTATTGCAAAAAAGATAAGAAATGATACGACAGACATTGATGCAATGTTTTTATTTTTGTGTGTTCTATATATTTGTGAAGTATTACGAAGAAATACAGAATAATCAAAACACGTGCTGAACAGTTATTTATAAAATGACAGACTTCAACTCTTTTCTTGTTTGAGCTAATCTCATATTTTTTTAAGCATTTTACAATTTAAGTATTTATTATGATTAGTTGATTACTTCTATTTTGTCTTTTATACTCATTTAAAAGAAAATGACTATAGCCTTCATCCGTATCTTTACAATCATTATAAGTCTGATTTATTCTTCATAGATTGCTGAGAAACTTTCACCTTGGATTTTTTTCTTTAAACTTTCTAATTTAACATAATAGTGAGCAGGGTGTGTATGTGGAGAAAGTGAAGGATGCTAACCACATATTCCCACACCCACACCCTTTTGAGCTCCTAGCCATTTTCTGACTAGTAGTGTTTAAAATTAACTAATCACTATTAACTTAAGCCAAATTTGTGTGGGTTGCTCTGATTCGTAGAAATTTTAAAATATTCATAATTCAAAATTTTTGAAATTTTTGGCACGTACATTTCAAAATTGTTTAATAATTTAAGATTTGCCACTTTATGATTCAAGTATTAATCTTTATAAGAAGCCCAGTGAGTCAATTGAGTGGCTGTAGAAGATTCACGCAAAAGTGCTCCGATGTAAGTGTGGTTGTTGAATAAACAGTGACCGCACATCTATATCTAGAATCGGCAAAGATAGCGATGAATGGCTCCCAACAGACGTAGGAACTAGATAATGGGACTCCTGTCACCATTCCTCTTCATAACATATAACGAACAAGTGATGGGCTAGGTGAAACATAATACCTGTATAATTAACATCAATGGAACACTTGTAAACAACCTGAGATTCACTGGTTATATGGACCTTATAAATGAAAACTGCAGCTCACTTCAAAACAAAATCAAGCGAACCAAAACAGTCGCCGGACAAAGAGGACTCATCTTTAACACAAATAAAGCGAAGACAATGTTATTCGGAGATAGAAACATTGAACTTAGAATCCGAATAGCAAGACAAACCGTAGAAAACGTTGAGAAGTTCAAATACTTAGAAAGTCTACTCACATGAGACAACCATTACTCAGAAGAAATCAAAAGGAGAATAGGCAAAGCGGTGGGCACAATGGCTTTCCTGAAACACATATGTAACTACAAGAAACTGAAAGCTGATCAAACACACAGTATTCGTGAAAATGAATGGAAAATCCCAAAGAGGACGTATGTGCAGACAATGGCTGGATGACATCATAAAATTATGTGGACGCAGCGGAAAAGACCTGTTTCCCCTAGCACAAGACTGACGGTTATGGAAGAAACTAATCCAAACAGTGGTCCACTCCAACGAGCGATAAGTCTATGGGACATCATGAATCATGATTTAAAACAAAGAAACAGATCTGACTTTACAAATTCAATCAAATACATAGCCATAATCATGTCTCTGTACATTTCTCTTTGTGCCGCTTGCTAATATCTAACAATTTTCTATGATAGAATCGAATGAGAATGTGATAAAGTTCCATTTAGAAAATTTATCCATTCAATTAGGAAACAGTCGTTTGTTTTTATATATTACTTAAGTTATT